ATGTCAAATGCATAATGAAAACGTTTATGAACAGTAGTTTGAGAGCATGAGCCTTCTGCACTTTTTTAAACTTTAATAACTTAGCTGTTTTTTTAATTTTAAGCAACAATTAAAAATATTTGACCAACATTGTGATGGCTTCCTTCATACAGACCAGAAGAACTAACTAAAGCTGTAAATCATTTTAAAAGATACAGCTAACAAATAATCTAAATGCATGGAAAAGGACTGAAATTAAAACTCATGATATTAAAGACATTTTCTTACATAAAAGAATGTTGAACTTTTCTACGCCTAATGTTTTGAAAACCCTTTCAATGTGTCTTACTTATTGCCCCCAAAAATGCCTTCATCCCATCTCTAGTTCTAGAAATCCCTAAAATAAGGTATTAGATAGGCAGATCATATGGTCCCATATCCTCTCCTCCCACCCCCCTAATAACTGAATGTAAAGCCTAACAAGTCAGTTTGAGTCTGACATGAGCAAAACAAAGGACTCTGGAAAATGCTCCCAGTTAATTAAAACGGAAACTTAAAAGTGAAATGGGGTGACTGATATTAGTAACTTGTTCCCAAAGGAAAAAAAATACTTGTATTTGTACAATGTTATAATTTTTGTCATCATTATAATAATTACCCCTGTGGGATCATCATGATTGCCATGAATACTAAAAACTGGAATAGAAATGTTGAGATTCCCATCCTGGTAGTTCACCCATGGAAATCTGAATAGGAAAAAAGTTTACATTTGTTTACAAGCTATTTGCATACTCAACATTCATGACACAATTTTTCTTATCAAAACAACAATTTAACTTATACAGAAACTTTAACTGCATATTAAAGCATTTTATGAACATTAATAAAGAAGCAATGAGCAACACTCTGAAGCAGGTGATTATTAAATGAGGTTTCACTTTATCTAAATGAAATGGGACTAAGAGAGGAAGGGCAGTGGTTAAAGGCACCAGTTTAGGACTTAGGAGACCTGAGTTCAGGTTCCTGCTCCACCATAGACTTCCTGGGTGATGCTGACAAGTCACTTAGGCCCAGATCCTCAAAAGGTATTTAGGTCCTTAACTTCCACTGAAATCACAGAGCTTAAATGCCTTTGAGGATCTGGGCCTTTGTGCCAGTTTCCTACCTGTGAAATGGGAATAATAGCACTGCTTTACCTCGCAAGAGTGTTGTGAGGATAAATACATTAATAACTGTGAGGTGCTCAAATTCTGCAGATGGAGGCCATAGATATAGCTTAGACAGACAGTGCGCAGGAGTGTAGGGGAGGAAAGGCATTACATTAATTTGGATAAACAAGACTTTGGATACAGATGGGAGTTTGCATTGTACTGCATCACTGTGTTCACCTGGTACACACTTTGTTATATTTAAGGTTGAAAAATTATTTCACACGTTCTCCTTTAAAAAAACAAAACCCACTCCTTTCCTTTTCAACATTCATGCCTTGTCTCTGTCCAAAGCTGAATTTTGTTTTCAGTTTAATTTATGATGTTAGAATCTTTCCGTCCTAAAAGCTCAAAAGCCTAGCTAGAATTATGGGGGCCCAATCCTACAAATACTTAGAGGGAATAATTTCAGTTCATACAAGCAGTGCTACTGTATTCAATGACTATTCAAATGAGTATACTAACATCATGTTTCCAATACTGGGCTTACATATATCAGAATTTATATGACACGCAATACACCTAGAAAAGTCATCCAAAGATGGTGACAAAGTTTATAAAAATATTTAACGAGTTTAAAATTTTCTCAGAAGACAGACTGAGGAATTGATCCTGCAAGCTGCTCCACACAGTGGACTACTGAAAGTGCACAGAAATCCACTGACTTGCAGAGGTCTGCCTATAAGCCATTTACAGGATCAGACTCTTAAATCTACTGCAGTGGCAGTTTACTGTACCTAACCAGCAAATTGCACAACATACTGTAGTTATTTCATCACAGTAAAATATACTTACTTGCTAAAACCAAAATTGACTGACTGGTCACTCAAAATTTCAAATTGTACAGGATGATCACCCATGCAATATTTTCTTAATAATTCAACGCAGGTGTGTAATGTTTTTCTGGAAGGTTTATTTTCATGGAAAAGATCCCCACCTAATAAAATAAAATCCACCTGCACAAATCAAGAGCTTTGTTATAGTCAAATGGTATTCTGTATTATCTTAAAAACAATTCCCTACATGCTCTTATAAAACATTAATTTTATGTTGAAGTGTATGGAATTTCTTACCAGGCCTTCAATGTTAATACCATATTTTTAGATTGTAAAACAAGTAAAACCTAAAATGCTTATAGTTAAATTAATCTAACCTTAATATTTCAGTGTCTAACAATGATTCAGAAAAACTAAAAGACAAGTTTAATTTACAAAACCCAAAACCACAACAACAACAAAAGCATACAACACTTTGCAAAGCAGCATCTCAGAATTCTTAAAATCAATGACAAGGAAGGAGCCAAAAACAGGAGTTCCACCCCAGTTTTTTTAAACTGAATTTACTAAAGTAAATGTTTAAGTATTTCACAGAGGAGAAGCTGGAAATTTATTGTCTCTAGCCCTAGGAAATCATTATTAATTCACTTTGCATTAATTTGACAAGGATGCCCAACCAATCTGAATTTCTGAATTCATGTTAAATGAATGGATATTCAACAACAACAAAAAAACACTCAGCCAGGATTACAAATATACCATTGGATCTGTTTATGAATTATTATGCTCATAAGAATAGAGGGTAATGTTTTCAAAAGTGCTTAAGTGACCTGGAAGCCTAACTCCCATTTTAAGAGGCACCAAAGCCTAAATTCCATTGACATTTAATCCTGCAATTAGCGCCTCTGCAAGCAACCACCACTGAAACCAATGTGGGTCTGTCTTCATGGAGCTCATTCTAGTATCAGGAACTCAATTTCCAAAATAAATGGTTCACTCCTACCAGAGTCCCTGAAAAGAAAACTGTCCAGTACTTCCATTATTACATTTAAAGTACCATATTAGCTGCTAAGACCTGAACATCAGCTACATTTCTACTCTCGCTCAAACTCCTCTTTAGATCGAGCAACCTTCTTATAACAACTTCAGAACAAGGGCCGCAATCTTGAAATCTTCAAGGGGTCCACAAGATCCAGATATAGGATTGGGACCAACCTTCCTAATATTTTCCAGAAAGCATCCAAAGTCCGTCTCAGAACCTTACTTTCCAAAAGACGTAAGACTGCTTACTTCTTTTTGTTGAGCATGTCTCAAAATTTCATCAAAAGTTACAAACGTATCATTTCCACGAACAGGATCCTTCTCCAAGTACCCAAGGTGAATGTCAGTAGCAACCAGAATTTTGAAGGTATCTTCTTCACCCCTAAATTGAATTAAAAAAATAAAAATAGAAAACTGTACTATGAATTCAGCTATTTCCACAGCCTTTTGTACAATAAACTGTTTCACCAAAAATCACTGAATGCAGAGTCTGGCACAGAAAACATTGCATTTTGTAGACTTAACAGCACACCATCAACTTAAAAATCAAGTCTGTCTCAAAATGTTTAACCTACTTCTGTTTCAAACACCACCTAAAATTACAGTAAATGAAAGAGGTTATGGACTAGATCCCACAAATGGATCCGTGCAGGGTTGCACCCATGTGGATCCCTCTGAAGGATCTTCTAATCTTAAAGAAAAAAAAATTTTAGTCATAAAACCACAAATATTGGCTGAGAGAAACGGGCAGATCAAGTACTTGAAACTATATTTAATTCATTTAAAAAAAAACTGAATAGCTTGCCAGCTGTCTGTTTCCTTTCAAATGGAACAGAAACATATGCAATGCTTGCATAGGGAGTTTATGGGCCTGAAAAGAACAGGAGCTTACCCTGAGTTGATGCGACTCATCTCTGCGCTCACAATGGCTCCAGGTGGATAGGACTCCGCACTCAGCAGTTCTGGACAGAGCCTGATGGGTCAGTACAGGGCAGACAATTCAGTTCTAGCTTAGAATACCCAGAACAGTGTCTAAATGACATGAATACAAATGGTTTACAATTAAGCGCATAATAAACTGAGCTCGTGCCACCTACCCAGTTTTGCACTGATAGCTGTGCTGCTACTTTTTTTAAGATACAGAGAAGTCACATGTATTTAAGAAAATGACACTTTTTTGGTTACTGATTTCATTGCTGCACAATGTAATCAAGTATTGACACGGGGCAAAACCGAACCGCTGTTCCTGCCCCTTGCACAGCAGAATGGCATTGCGAAGGTCCACAGCACGGAAGCTGCCGTCTGGCGGCCCCCCGTTCCACCCCGCCACGTGACGCAAGCGGGCGGCTCTCCCGCCGGCCCGGCAGGCCCAAGCTGCACAGGCGCCGCGGGCTGCCCGGGGCCCGGCCGGCACCAGCGCCCCGGGGAAGCTGCTGTCCCCGCTCTGCCCTCTCTCCGCCCCGCCTCGCCGCGCGCTCCTCACCCGCCAGCTCTACCGCGTCAGCAGCCCGGGCCGCGCCGCGCCGCGCCGCGCTTTCAGTTTCCATAGCGCTGAAGGGGCGGGGATAGACGGAGTAGTGTCCTCTCGCGATACCTGCCCACCCGCTCCCGCCTTACCTGTGCCTCCTCGAGACCGGCGCAAGGCAAGGGACGCAATCGGTCAGACTGGAACCAATCACAGGCAGCGTCACGGCCACTTCCGGGAGCAGCTGCGGACCGGAAGTGGTATGCTGGGTTCCATTTGTGTGCTTTCATACGGAGCGGGAGTGCGACTGAGGTGGGTGCTACTGTCGCCAGCCGGCTCCGCCCGCGGAGAACGTGAAGCTGGGCAGGTATTTTTTGTCCCTGGAGCCGCTCAGGGCGGGACCCAGTCACAGCTCGGAAGCTCAGCAGCGCCCGGGTGGATCGGTGCCGGTGCCTGGCTGGGTGCCTTCCTTAGCAGGAGCGCCCAGTGCTACCAGAACTCAGTGGCGCAGGTGGTGGAGTAAGTGGCACTCGTTCCCTGGCATCAGTATTGCACCTGCTGCCGCGGGAGACTGCTAGGGGGAGTCTGGAGGTCTTGGCTGTGGGGTGGCACGTGAACCTGAGCTCTTGGCTACTCTAGGTCACTACAGATCTCATGGCAATGTGAATGCCACGAGAAGTATTGTGAATCTCAGACCTGGCTAGAGTCCAGCTCAGGTTGCCAGTCACCTGAGACGTGTTTTGCATCCTCAGAACAAGCTGGGATGAGGAACAAGAGTAAGTTGTTTGGGGAAGTGGTATTAAAACAGTTACCCTGCTGAGTACAATGCTAACTAGCTCGTCTGCTGTGCACCAGCTGCATCCTGGGAGCAGGAGCCAGAAGGGACAGGTGGGCTCAGGGAATAGGCAGAGGAAATGGACAAAAGGAAGCTGGCAACAGTGGGCAGGAGGCTGATGGTGGCTTCCATCCCTTCTCTTTGAATTTTAAAGATGGATAAATTTCAGAGTAACAGCCATGTTAGTCTGTATTCGCAAAAAGAAAAGGAGTACTTGTGGCACCTTAGAGACTAACCAATTTATTTGGCTCACGAAAGCTTATGCTCAAAAAAATTGGTTAGTCTCTAAGGTGCCACAAGTGCTCCTTTTCTTTTTTTAAAGATGGATAAACTCATTTTTGGGTGGGGGCAGGATGGATTAAATTGAGAGCATGCTTTTGAGGATTGCACGCTCAGACAGTTCCTACAGTTTCACTGACAGAGAAAAATCCTGTCTACCTGAGTATAGGATTGCCTTTCTGCCCCAGTCATGGGTTTCTCTCCTAGTAGTGGTGCTTTACGGAGGTGCTCTCCTTCTTTCTCACCTCATCTGCACCCTGAAGCTATCCCAGGCTTTTGGATGAAATGTATACATAAGTCATTATTGTTACAACTCAAAAGTAAAACAGAAGCAAAAATTAATGTTGAAAATAGACATAAAATTTCTAAACACTGTTAACCATTTGGCTGCTGTAGGGTATTCCAAACACATTATGCAGAATGCACATTCAGTGCTGCTCCATATACTTTTGCAGATGTCATAATTACTGCGTACAAGCACTCTATTTCTGTGGGGGGTTGATAGCAAATATGTTAACTGCAACTAACACAGTTCCTGTTTACAAAGCCAGTTTGGTAAATGTACATAAAACTGGAATTCTTAAAATTGATTCTTGAAAATTTTCACAGTGTTGCTGCTGTTAGCACACCCCTTGTTTTAGCTTTTGTTGATGATTTATGTCTGTGTGTTTGGCAGGAGGTAATGATGAATGACTCAGAAAAGAGGCAAGACAGCGCAAGAAGAAAAATATTTAACTCTGTACATTTGACATTTACAGATGCTAACTAAAAATGAATGAAAGCAGAAAATCAAATGAGAAAAGTGCTGACAATAGAGAAGATGACAGAGAGGAGTTACTGGAATTTACTGAGAACTTTAACCAACTTGAATTGTTGGAAACACACAGACATCTAATTCCTATAGGAACTCAGAGTCTTTGGTCAGGAGAGTCTGATGAGGAAGATGAAGAGGAGGAAAAAAGTGAGGAGTGGTACCAAATGCAAGAAAAAAAAATGGAGAACAATCCAGAAAAACTGCTGCTTTGGGCAGCTGAAAAAAATCGGGTAAGAAGGAGGTTTATCCACTATATTTTTTTTTGACTATATTACCTTAAATTGGTATCTACGCAGATTATGCTTAAAAAACAAAAATCTAGCCATAATTGTTATACTTTTGTAAAGCATACTGGGAGCCCAGCTAATTGGACATTTGGGGCCAGGTCCTGCAAGTTAATTCACAGGGGTGGCCTTCCTTTCAAGTCAGCAAGACTCCAAATAAGTTCAGGTGTCTCTCCATGCAGCTCAGCTTGTAGGATCAAGGCCTTGATTTGTACCAAGAGCTCAAATACTAACACTAATCTGAAAATATTGTTAACTGAAAGAGCATTCTGGGTATTTTAATACAAATTATGAGCCCAGCAGGTACACTCTTAATCCTAACGTATTGCTTTAATACATGTCATATTAAAACAAAGTACATTAATTTTGAATGGTGAAATGAGGTCCATCTCTTGCAAATGATCTGTTCGCCCTGTGTCAACTGAAGCTGGCTAACTACTTCCAATAAATTGGAGAATAATTTTTTGAGGGATTTTGTCATTGTGTGTGTGTGTGTGCATTAACAAACAGTATTCTACCAACTGTAAAGTTGGTTAAATACAGCCAGAAGTAACTTTGTGCATATAGTTATCGTGTGGCAGAGTTCTACAGATTATGATTGTGGCCAAGAGTTTAGTAGGATTCAATGAAAGATTGATTTGAATCCAGCTATAGAGATAAGACTATCAAGAGCTCTCTGTAGAGGATAACTTTTTAAAATAAGGAATCTAAAATCTTGTGCTTTAGGGCATAAACTAAGCACTACATGAAGGGAGTTAGGATAACCTGGGGCAAGTTATTCCATAATTGGAAACGGGGTTGCTTGAAGTCAGTGGGACTGAAGCAAATACCTTTAAGCACGTGCTTTCCTGAACTAGGGCCAGAAACAGGATTCTGTACTAAGTAGACTACTGGTCTGATCCAGTGGGACAGTTCCTGTTTATCCATAAGATTAAAACAAACCAAAAAATTCTTGTCTCAAACATGGTTCTCCCCCACCCCAGTCAAAACTATGCTATATATATATATATATACAGAAGATGAACTGTGTTTTGACTGAAGGGGAAGATAGTTACTTGTGACAGAAACATTCCCGTTAAGTGGTACTTTATCCTATATGCACTAAAATCCACAGACTATAAATTGACCTTATTTAATTACACTTGTTACATAAACTGCTGTCTAAAAGTACAGAGTTTGTGTGTGTGTATGCATGCACCAGCGTGTTCATGTCTGGTCTCCAAAAGAAATGGCACCAGTAAAATAACTGGTGGTATTTTAAAATTGTTTGTGTACAAGCTTCTTCCTGAGACCAATATTATAAACTTCCTTTGACTGCATGCCAGGCTGGCTCTAGATTGTAGAAATTAAAGCAGTGCATCTCATGGGGTGAGGGTTATATTAAGCTGTCTGTCTTTCTTACATAGCTTAGTACAGTGCACAAGCTCCTTTCTCAAAAGCTAGCTCCCGTTAATGTCCAAGACGAAGATCAGTACACTCCCCTCCATCGAGCTGCCTACAGTGGACATTTAGATGTTGTGCGTGAATTGATTGACCAAGGTGCAGATGTCCATGCAGTGACAGTGGATGGCTGGACGCCTCTACATAGTGCATGTAAGTGGAACAATACAAAGGTGGCTTCGTTTTTACTTCAGCATGGTGCAGATATCAACGCTCAGACAAATGGATTGCTGACACCATTGCATCTTGCTGCAGGAAACAGAGGAAGTAAAGAAACACTTGAATTGCTGCTGATGAATCGTTACCTGAAACCAAACCTAAAAAATAACTTGGATGAAACTGCATTTGATATTGCTAGAAGAACTGACATATATCACTACCTGTTTGAAATTGTAGAAAATTGCACAAATTCTGTGCCAGATTCTTAAAAATTCTCATTATTTAAACTTTTGAATGTGAATTTCACTTACTTACTCTTTGTAACACGGCATTCTTTAGACTTGCACCTAAAACTAATGGTTTCTCCCCACTTCTCAGAAAAGATTTAATGGGCGATGTTGTAGAAGGGGAGGTCTCATGATTAAGATTTCATTATTTTTGCAAAATAAATGACCATATACTTACTCAGACATATTATCACTTATATACAATGGGACTTGAGGTGTTTGCAGAATAAAGCTTTGGTAAATTTAGTAATTTGCAGTGGGTCTCTGCTTAATCAGCGCAAATTAGCGAGGATCTACTGTAATTAAAGTCCAAAACACTAATCCCAAGTCAAGGAGAGAACTGGAACATTAACCGTTAAGTAAGCTAGCAGGTTATGCACAAATTGGTAGTTACTGTTTGTTTTAAACTTTGAAACACTTGTTTTAACGTCTTAAAAACTGCATGAAAATGCCGACTGAATGTAACTAACTTATACAGGGGACACTCAAAATATAAAGTTACCTTATTTTAAAATAAAATACTTAACACTAAATATTGTTTGTGTTATGGATCTTTGTTGAAGGCCTAATAATCAATGAAATTGTCTGTTCATAGACCAAGAGGATTATTCCTGTCGTGTTAAAAGCAGTTCCAGTTTAGTTTTATTGATACTTTCATATGGAGATGACTGTCATTAAGGGTACTGTTTACACTTTCCTTCAAAATTAGTTAAGGAATAATGTTTAAATGCATCCAAATACACACTTGTCTACAAGTTGAAGCATGTCAAGATAAACAAAACACTGTTGTGTCTGACTTGGTTGGAACATTTTGCAATACACTACTGAAGTCCCTTCTGCATCTGATCCATGCTGAAGTCTTGTACAGTTCATTCTAACACAGGAGTCAGGACACCATTGTAGTTCCATGCATTTCATTTTGTGTTTTTTCTCAGATAGTCTCTCTAACTTTTGGACAGCTCCCTGAGTTTACTTCTATATTTGATCCCCTTTTTAACTGACAAGTGACCAGTATTGTCAAATATCAATATTCGGAGCACTCAAATATCATGAGGCAGGCACAAAAAACATGAGATTGGATTAAAAATCATGTGATTTTAAAAATAATGCATCTTGAGTTCTCACTGTTCTTCTGGCTTTTGAACGTTTTTGGGTGCACTTGAGTGACATTGGCAAGCTTTTCTCTGCAACCATAAGAGCTAGAAACTTACTTTCAGCTTTTAGTTTAAAGTAGATTCTCATGTATTCACATGAGCCAGGAGCTAGAGCTTTAAGACATACACCGAACATGATGAGACTCATAATGAAATCACAAGCATTGGCAACACTGGATAGTCTTTGACTCCAGCATTTTCTCCTTTTGCCAACACCTTCCTCTCCAAACAGCTCAGGCCCAGATCCACAAAGGGAATTGCAGTGCTCAGCTTTGCCTTTTAGGTGCCTAGAAAATCACAGGAACAACACGGCGAGCCACAAAGCCTAAGTTAGGTACCTAAATAGTGAATGGAAAGAGACAGGCTCCCTAGCATGTGATCCACAAAAAGTCAGTGTACTGGCTGGGGAGCCAGGTAAGCTAGCCAATGGGAGACATGGATGAGAGGGGTGTGTCCTAAGCCACACCTCCTCACAGAAATAGGCACATAACTTTGGGCTGCAGGGACACAAGGCCCACGAGTAGGAACCCATTTCCTGCAGTCAGGTGGCTTAGGTGCCTAACTCATGTATTGTGAGAATGAGTAAGGTGCCTGTCTCACTCTACACAAAATGACCAGCGCAGGAGGTTAGTTCAGTGGTTAGAGCATGCACCTGGGATGCAGGAGGGTCATTGGAGGAGAGGGACTGGACCCTGGGTCTTCTAACCACCAGGCTACAGAGTCTTTCTCTCTCTGGACCAATGATTCTTTAAATATTTATACACACCAGAAGAGCTTCAACAAGAACGACTAAGGGAGCCCACCTCACAACATTCTGTATCTCAATGGTTAAGAGTGTTCAAATCTTCTCCCCCAGTCAGGCAGTCTTAGTAAACCTGCTCTCTTTCAACAATAGATTCAGCCCTTCTGAAAGCAAGCAAAAGTTTCATGACTGAAGTAGAGTTGCACCTCCTGTCCCCAGTACTTAACGTTGGGAAAAATGCACATATAGAACTTGTCAATGTTGCAATTCACTTTGAAAAATGAACATATCTGGATTATTAACTAGCTACAATAGTATACTTTTTCAAACCTGAGTTATTTTTCCTGGAGTGTGAAAAGAAGGGTGTGTATCACTTTGATTTATCAACAGCAGGTGTTAAAGTACATTATATTTGAAGCAAAAATCACTGCTATCTGTGTACATTTATGACTTTTCAAGGAATTGTACAGCGTGTTTCTGTTGTGAAAAACAACTGCTTTGGTCAGGGAGCTGCGTTCAAATCAGTGGTGGTGGTGAAGATAATGGTATATTTTCAGCAATGCCATCAGCCCAGAAGGTGCCCCATTGGATAGTGCATTTGAGTGGAAGTCAGGAGACCTTAATTTTGTTCCCAGTTTTGCTAGTGGCTTTCTGTGTAGACGCTTCACCTCTCTGTACTTTGGAGACTTGCCTTCCTTTGTAAAGTAGTTTGAGATTAAAAGTATTACATAAGTAGTATTACTCAGCACTTCTATTATAATGTACAGAACTGCAATTGAAAAGTGAAATTTCAAAGTACAATCCTGGTTTTTAATCATCACATCGTTTGTAAATTCTGTTTGTAGCCTGTCTGCAGAAAGTGAATGAAACCCTTGAGTCCAAACCACACCAGTATCACACAGACATGCAAACATAATAGTAACATGGGTCTTGTCTATATTTTCATTTTTAGTGGTGTTTTAACACTTTTATTAATATGATTGTAAATGCTAGATGCTGAATGAACATTTGTTCCAGGACACAGACATATGCTGCTAATCAAGCTTAACTCAAAGCCTAGGCTAGGGTTTACACTAGAATTTACAAATCTGTTAGTATAGGGTAACATGTTAAAACACAACTAAAAATGACAAGCATAGACAAGCCTGGGTTTTCAAAATCACCATTCCCTATATATAACTCCTTACCAATTACAAACCCTACATCCATACAACTAGGTACTGTATCCATAAAACAAGCTTTAATTTCAGCTTCTTCAAAATTCAAAGTCTGGGTCTACTTAAGGCTGTTCCAATTGTTGTGACTGGTAAAACTCACAATTTTCTACCAGACCAGCATCAGATCATCAATCTTTGCAACCCTACCTCCATCTAGTGGCGTTCTCTATGTCCTGCAATAAATACCAACTTTTTTTTTCTCAAATCTAGAAAAAATAAAACATCAGCTAAACAAGAAGAGGCAAAGCTCTGTGCTTAATTCTTATGAATGGAATACATTTCAAGATGTTCAATCTTATACAGTTTGCAAACTTAATTATTATTAAAATCAGACATTCTTCCTACACTATAAATCTACAACAGCCAACGTATCTAGCAGCATTTTTGTTTGTTACTGTGATGTATTTTCTGTAGGTCCTCTCCTTTAAATAGCTCTGCTTCTAAAAGGCCTAACACTGGCACCATGTAGAAATGTGGCAAAGGAAGGGTTAATTAGTGCAATGTGCATACTCCATGTCCAATATACTGACTTGCACAAACCTTTCAGATACAATAACAGTTAAAAACCCACCCCCACTTTTAATTATAGTGGCCACAGGCGGTTTACAAGGTTGCAAAGAATTATTACATAGTTTGCCATAAGCCACAGAAACTGGATGCTCCTAGCCTTGAGCTAGAACCAATTCTAGCAATGGGACAAACAGTGCAATCTGGTAAAGGCAGTTTACCCAACTACCTTTACCTGGCCTATAAAACGTGTGGAAGACCCAAAAGGTGGGACAACAAAGGAGGAGGTGTGTGTTTATTTAATTAATTGATTTTACCCAAAATATTATTTCTTTAGCTTGTGATAGAGCCTCAAATGTGCTAGGGACTTTCCAAAGGCAGGGGAAGACCCAATCCCTGCCCAGAAGCATGTGCAGTCTCAAATGGGGGTTCTCAAAGGGGGCTCCTGACCCCTAACCCTCAGTTATTACAAGGGGAGTTGCCAGCTGTCAGCCTCTACCCCAAACCCCGCTTTGCCTCCAGCATTTATAATGGTATTAGATATATTAAAGCGTGTTTTTAATTTCGGGGGGGGGGGGGGGCCACACTCAGAGGCTTGCTATGTGAAAGGGGTCACTAGTACAAAAGTTTGAGAACCACTGGTCTAAACAGCCAAAGGAAGAGGATGGAGCTGGAGTTTCCCATAGCTTCTGCTGCCTCAGACGCTATTTCAGGCGGCCAGGGGGCGGGCGAAGCAGGGGAGCAGCCGTCAGGACTCACTCGGTTTACCCCTGGGTGACCCTGAGCCACGCTCTTGGCCTCCCTTCCCCGCCTGGGCGCTGCTCCCCTACCTCCGGCAGGGCCTGGGGCGGGCAGGCGACGCTTGCAGCAGCCCCGCTTTGAGTGACCCTGGGACGCAACGTGCGAGCTACCGCCGGAGCCGGGCGGCTTATGGAGCCGCCCTAACAGCCAGCGAGGGGAGAGCGGCGCCGCGCAGGGCCAGGAACGCCCTGAGCCTTCGCCCCCCGCCTTCCGCTCCCCCGGGGGGTGCCCTGCGGCCCAGCCCCGGGCTGCTCGGCCCCTCTCCCCGCGCCTCTGCCCAGAGCCCCGCGGCGGCCGAGCTCTCGCCCCCAGCCCCGGCCGCGCTGCTGTCCCCCGGGCTGCCGCTCCTCCCTCCCCCGCCCCTGAGCTCCTATGGCAACGGGCGGGGCGCGCCGGCAGAGCCGGGGCAGAGGCGGCGGCGGTGGCATGAGGGAGGCGGCCGCGGAGCCCCAGCAGGAGCCGGCGGCCGGGGATGCGGGAAACAGCGTCTGTGCGGAGCCGGCGGGGAGCGGCCACTGCGGCCAGCCCTGTGAGTGGTGGGGCCGCCCCCAGCCTTGGGGTCCCGTGGCCCCGCCAACCCTGCCCTGGGGCGTCCCGGCCGGCTCCCGTCCATCCCCCTGCAGGGGCACTGCCCAGCCCTGGTGTATCTTGGCTCCCGTCCACCCCCTGCAGGGGCACTGCCCTGCCCTGGTGTGTCTTGGCTCCCGTCCATCCCCCTGCAGGGGCACTGCCCAGCCCTGGTGTATCTTGGCTCCCGTCCACCCCCTGCAGGGGCACTGCCCTGCCCTGGTGTATCTTGGCTCCCGTCCACCCCCTGCAGGGGCACTGCCCTGCCCTGGTGTGTCTTGGCTCCCGTCCACCCCCTGCAGGGGCACTGCCCTGCCCTGGTGTGTCTTGGCTCCCGTCCACCCCCTGCAGGGGCACTGCCCTGCCCTGGTGTGTCTTGGCTCCCGTCCACCCCCTGCAGGGGCACTGCCCTGCCCTGGTGTGTCTTGGCTCCCGTCCATCCCCCTGCAGGGGCACTGCCCTGCCCTGGTGTGTCTTGGCTCCCGTCCACCCCCTGCAGGGGCACTGCCCTGCCCTGGTGTGTCTTGGCTCCCGTCCATCCCCCT